AAAAAAAAGGTTTCTATATAAAAAATCCTATTCCTGTGCTTTCTTGTGTGTTGTAATATCTTTGATGCTCCCAGTGGAGTTGTTGCAGCACCTCATCCAACTGCAAAAACTTCAATATTGCAACTTCTCCAATGTGGATTTTGGGGTTTTTTTATCGATTGTGTGAATCTGTCACAGCCAGAGGAAAGAAATTCTTGTTTTTGTTGTTATTTCCTGTTTGAATAATTCAGGTGGAGCATTGAAATGTGCAGGAGGGAGGCACAGGGAGAAAAATCAAAATATTTTTTTGCTGGCTGCAGGTCCCTGTGTCCCCCTGGGAACTGCCTGCAGGGCTTGGCTGGGAGATGGGAAGATGGGATTTGAAAATTGGGATTTGAAATTTGGGATTTGGGATTTAAAATTTGGGATTTGGGATTTTCACCTTCCCCATTACAGTTCCAGCAGCTCTGGGGTGGTCCCAGCGTGATTGGGATGAGTTCACAGGTGACAAACCCTCCTGGAGGCTCCAAAAATCCAATTTTGAGCACAAATATTGGTATTAACAACCCTTAATTCTCCTTCAGGATTAAAATTAAATAAATTGGGTGCCTGATCTTGATTTCACGGCTGAAATCCATGACTAAACACTCCTTGGTTTCACCCTCTGGCATTAAYGAAGTCCTTGCCAATTAATAACAGGGATAAATTAAAGAACCTCAGCAACACAAGAGGAGTTAAAAGTGATTTTAAGAGAGGAACAGGCAGCACTTTTAGGGGTTTTGGGGTTTTTTTGTGCCATGTCTTTCTGGAACTGGAATTTTCATGGCATYCTTGGCTCAGGGATGGCTTTTCCCTGTGGATAAAGAGGCAGAAAATCAACTGRCACAGGGGGAGGGTGAGCAGAGAGCTGGGAGGGGAATTTTTTTTCCCCTTCATTGATACAAAATGGAAATGGGCTGTTGGTTTTCCCTAATGCGAAGAATAATAACTGCAGTGATAGATTTGTCATTGCCAGTATTGATTTCCTTCCCCAGCATAAACTATTTTTAAAAATGCCTCTTAATGGGTTTTTATTTGCTGGCAGGGTTGGGATCTAAGGCTGTTTCTGCTGGGCCTGCTATGGGAAGAGCAGCAGGATCTGCCTGCTTTTAAAAGTGAAAGGGAAAGTGGAAAAAAGGGAATATCAGGAAAAAAAGAAAAAAGAAAAGAAAAAGAAAAAAGAAAAGAAAAAAAGGAGGAGGAAGAATTGAAATAAAATGAGGACAAAATCAGGAATATCTGTCCCACCCAGCCCATGGGAACCTGCGGTGTGGGAGGGGAGCAGAGCTGCTGGACACGCAGGGATGAAGAAAAAAATTTGGAGCTGAACTCTTTTGGCTCAAACCACGTCCAGGTGAAGAATAAACAGCACCAAAGGGAGCTGCTGGAGCTGCTCCAGAGGAAACAGGGAGATGCTCCAAGGGCTGGAGCCCCTCTGGAGTTGAGCTGGGAGAGCTGGGGGTCCTCACCTGGAGAGAAGAAGGCTCCAGGGAAACCTCAGAGCAGCTTCCAAGGCCTCAAGGGGCTCCAGGAGAGCTGGAGAGGGACTGGGACAAGGGATGGAGGGACAGGACACAGAGAATGGGGTCACACTGCCAGAGGGCAGGGATGGATGGGATTTTGGGCAGGAATTGTTCCCTGGGAGGGTGGGGAGGCCCTGGCACAGGGTGCCCAGAGAAGCTGTGGCTGCCCCTGGATCCCTGGAGTGACCAAGGCCAGGCTGGACATTGGGGCTGGGGACAGTGGGAGGTGTCCCTGGACATGGATGGGACTGGAATGAGATGGACTTTAAGGCCCCAAAGCATTCCATGATAATAATGGGCAGAGGGTGATCCCTGAGATGCCTGACCTCCCCTCTGTGCTCTGCGTGAAGTTTGGGTGGGATGGCAGAGAGGATTTGCTAAAAAAAATGAGAGAAAGAGAAGGAGAGAAAGAGAGAGAAAGAGAGAGAGAGAAAGAGAGAGAGAAAGAGAGAAAGAAAGAAAAGAAAGAAAGAAAGAAAGAAAGAAAGAAAGAAAGAAAGAAAGAAAGAAAGAAAGAAAGAAAGAAAGAAAGAAAGAAAGAAAGAAAGAAAGAAAAGAATAAATTTGCAGAGCTATATATACATAAATGAACAAATATATTAATGTAACAATTATAATAAAGGCAAAGCAAACAAAAAATAAATGAACATATTAAATTAATAAATAACATAACAATTAAAGGCCAAACAAACACAAAAAAAAAATCCCCAATATAACCGCGCGTGCACGTGCTTTCTTTTTCCCCTTTTTTTTAAAAGGAAACCTTCCTTTCTCCTGCACGCTCCCGCGCATCTCCCACCCCCCTCCCCGGGGCGGGGGCATCCCGGCTGCGCTCCCCCAATCCATCCCTCCATCCATCCATCCCTCCATCGCTCCGCGCCGGGGGCGGGCTGCGCGGGGCTGCGCGGGGCTGCGCTCCTGTGGGCGGTGTCGCTCGGGGCCGGGCGGCCGTGCGGCTTGTCCCCGGCGCTGTCCCCGAGCCCGCGGCGTGCATGGCCCTGCGCGGGCGGCGATGGCTGCGCGCTGATGGCCCAGCCCGCCGCGCTCGCCATGGCTGCCAGGGACGAGCTGTACAGCCAAGTCATCCCCCGGCGGAACCGCCAGCACCGCGCCGGGACCATCAAACATGGCTCGTCGCTGGACATCCTGCTCTCCATGGGCTTCCCCAAAGCACGGGCGTAAGTCCCTGCCCCGCCGCGTTTTCCCCTCCTTTCTTTCGCTTTACGGCGGGCGGAGAGAGAACGGCGCTGCTCCGGAGCGGCGCGGGGCCGGCAGCGGGGAGGGAGCGCCGGGGAGACGGGGATGGATTCACGGAGACGGGGGATGGACTCACGGAGCGGGGGATCACTCCCGGAGCGGGGGATCACTCATGGAGCAGGGGGATCACTCCCGGAGCCGGGGGTTGCACTCCGGGAGAGGGGGTGATGCGTTCATGGAGAAGGGGGATGCGCTGCCGGAACGGGGAATGGACTCCCGGAACAGGGAGTGCACTCACCGAGAGGGTGGATCGACTCCCGCTGCGGGGAATGGACTCCCCGAGTGGGAAATGGACTCCCGGAACGGGGAATGCACTCATGGAGCRGGGGAATGCGCTGCCGGAGCGGGGGGCTGCACTCAGGGAGTGGGGGGCCGCACTCAGAGCGGGGGGATGCGCTGCCGGAGCGGCCCGGACAGCGGGGGATGCTCTCCCGGCAGCGGGCAGCGCTCTCCCGGCTTCGAGAGGATGCTTTCCCGGCTGCGAGAGGATACGCTCCTGGAACGGCCCGGAGATGCCTCCTCGGAGCAGCCAGGGCAGCGGGGAATGCTCTCCCGGAGCCGGGGGGATGTGCTCCCGGAGCCGGGGGGATGCGCTCCCGTCCGCGGGAATGCGCTCCCGGAGTCGGGGGGATGCGTGGCCCGGGGAAAGGGGCAATGGGGCGATGCTCTCCCGGGCTGCAGGGGATGCACGGCCCCGGGATGGCTTCTCGGAACGGCCCGGACATCTGGGAACGCTCTCCTGGCAGCGGGGAATGCTTTCCCGGAGCTGTAGGGGATCCGGGTCGCATCCTCCGGTCCGCAGGAGCCCCGGGCACACCGAGTCCCGTCCCCGCAGCCGGCCCCGGTGGCCAGGAAGGTGGGGATCGCCAGGGAGGCTTTTTTTGCAACCCCAGTTTCAATTGCTTTAGCTCGGACACCCGGGGGATGTTCTTTAATCCGTGTGCGAGTCACCCTAAAAGCAGTGGAGCAGAACTAAATTTCCATCCGTAGCCCGAAGCGGTTCGGTTTTTCTTGTCCGTTTTATGCCCCTGTGTGTGCGTATGGTTTAAATTAATCAGGCAGAAAACTAATGATAACTTCATGATGAAAGGGAGTGACTCCTGACGCGGGGCCGCTCGCTTTGGGATGCAAATGAAACCGGTGTGGGTCGGGATGGTTCCTTGATCTTGAGTTTTCCGTTTGTTGTCGGTACCGAGCAGAACTCGGCAGTTTCCAGGCTGCCTCGTCACTGGGTTTTTTTATAGAGACGGGCACACGCGGTTTAAGGACATATGTTCCTTGTGGATTGATGGGATTGCGTGGACGCAGCAGCGCATCCAGGAAATCTTATTTGTGTTTTGCACGGCTCCTTCTGGCTGTCAGTTATCTACYGAGATCAGCACTCGGCTTTGATACGCAGGGAATGCAAATGAAGAGCGGAGCTGAGCGGTGACTTCATGCTCTGCTCGGTTGGGAGGAAAGATGGGCATCTTTCTGTGGAGCTGGAGAAAAAAAAAAAATCCGGCTTGATGCTGTGAATGAAAGTGGTTGTTACCTGCACGACAGTGCCATCCAGGCAGCCTGGCTCTTCCTTCCTCGGGAACTGTGTCTATGGGTCGCATTCCTGCCCAGGAAAGCGCTGGCGTGGATTAAAATGTGCTCAGAGCCTCAGCACACCGAGCAGAGAAGGTTAAACGCGGGGAGCAGGTCAGAAAAAGGGGTAAAATATCCCGAAATGTRAAAAGTATTTATTGGGAATACAGCCAGGCAGATGGGTGGAGCTGTCTTGATGCTGAATTSGAGATGACCCCGTGTGACAGCTCAGCTCTGTGCTGGGAGAGGAACCACTTATCCCTSTGAAGGAGCAGAGTGTCCCTGTTCCAAATAATCCATCAGTGACATTCAGACAAGCAAAAATTCAGAAAGTAAAATAGAAATAAAGCCAATAAAATAAAGCAGTGCCACCGAGGGTACAATGTGGAATGGAGCACAGGTTTGTGCACAGCACAAGGACATTCCCCAGAGGTCATTCCTTCCCAGAAAATGCTTCTTAACTCACAGCAGACGTGTAAGTGTGACTGGAAGAGAGTGCTGAGATGCCAGGGAGGTAAAAAYATCACCTCCCTCCCAAMCATGGCCTGGAGAAACAGCCCCAAAACTCTCCCAGCTCTGTTTCCTACCACAAAGCCACAGCTCAGCAGGGACACAGGGAAATGGGTGAATTYGGGGGAATTTCAGTTCTGTGCCTGTGGATCCTGCATGCAAACACGAGCCAGGCTGGTACTTCAAAGTGGTGACCATCTGTTTGGGTGGCTTATGCAAAACAAACCTCCGAGTTGTCAGACAAGTCTGTCAGGCTTGTCACAAAATCCCATCGCTGCTGGCATCAGCGGCCTCCTCCCCGTTTTTGTGTGGGGCTGGGGACACTCATTGGGGCAGGGGACACTGATTGGGGCAGGGGACACACAGGGCCAGGTCAGGCAGGGTYACAAACACAGGGGATGAGCTGGAATCACAGTTTGAAGGTGTGGGATCGAGCCAGGAGAAAYATTCTGGGAGAGCTCCCATCACCTAACTTGGCTTTACCCCACAGATGTTAAAATAATCAAAGAGGAAATGTTCAGTGATTTCCAAGTGTTACTGAATGGCTCAGAAAGGGCAGAAAATGGGTTGAGCCAGGCTGGAACCCAGAGAGGATGTCAGGGAGCAAGGGCAGAACTGCCGTGGGTTTAATAACTCCTGGGTTATTAAATGAGCATTGGTTTGTCCACCCTGCAGGTGATTTATGGGGCCTGGGGACAGAGGGTGTGTCCTTCCTGTTTGAGGAATTCTGAAATATCCCTCTGAAATATCCCCCTGAAATATACTGAGCTCTTGGAGGTTCACCCCATTCCCCCTCTGAGGAGTTCAGAGTTCCCCCTCTGAAATATCCCAAGCCCAGGACTTTGYCCTGTTCCCCTCTGAAGGATTTCTTGGCACGGTTCTGTTTTCCTCCTTCCCATCACCAGCCTCCATCCCTGCTCCCCCAAATCACAGGGAGATGTCCAAATCTCCTTTGGGATCTTTCCCCCGTGCACAGCACCTGCTCAGCCCCCTCTGTCACCCTGGAACCATCACCACGAGCTGCTCTTCTGCCTTGTGGGGTTTTGCCAGCTCATGGCCATTATTATTTTATTTTGCAGTTAGCCCATTAGGTTACACACTGTCTGCTCCCACAGGCTGTCCCTCTCCCCAGTATTTTCTGATTTAAACAAAGAAAGAAGGCAAAGGTGATGTTACAATTCCCATTTTGCAATTTGGAAAAACATTTTAGCCTTGTTCACACCAAGGCCAAAGCAGACCCTCAGTGCTTCAATACCCTAAAAACARCAAGAAGATTCCTCTAGAAAGGGATTTCATGCAAACATTATTTCCCAGTTGGCCAAAAATATTATTTATCATCTCATTTTGAATCTCCCATCAGTAGTTGCACCTAATTCCCATCTACTCTGCCTGCCAGCACCTCTCACTGTTGTGTTTAATCCCTGTATAATGATGAGAGTAGAGAGAAGAAAAAGCACAGTGTGATTTACAGGCCATCAAAACCACGGGGGATCACTTAAAACTCTTACGCACGTAGAAGCAATTAGAAAAAAATCCATAATGTGTCTATAAAAGGCTGAAATTGGAAAAAAAATTAGTGATGGACTGCAGTTTCATCCAGGATGGAAGAAGACCTTTGACCAGATTTAAATTATTGAAACTTATTTATCCTGCATGGTGCAGAAATCAATGTGGCTCCAGAAGCTGCAAGTTTTAAAAGTTTCATGTCAGCCTTTAAACTCCTCCAAAACATCCTCAGAACCAGAAAGTTAAAATTGTAGTACGAGGATAAAAAATAATCCTGCTTTCTTTGTTTTAATTCTGAGTGCACATGTATCAGAATATATGAATGTATAAAACATAAAAGGTTTCAGTTCTGCATGAAACTCCAAATTTAAGTCACAGCTCTGAGATGCTGTTTCAGAAGAAATCCAGGCCTAAAAAATGGAAGATAATTCCCTGGTCCCTGCCATTACTCRGGCTGGGTAAATCACTGTCCATAACCAGAACACCTAAATTAGAGATATTGTGCTTTTTCTGTCGCTGTGCTGTCTTTGATAAGCACAAGAGATGACACAGGTGGCAAAGCTTTCCAAAACTAAATGGATCTTCCTTCCCCTCATCAGAGCCTGGAAAAGGRTTTAACTCTGTGTTCATGGCCTGGAGAGGAATTCATTACCCTGGACCTGAATAAAACCAGTTTGATTTGGATTTGCCTTCTCAGAAACCATGAGAATTTAGAAGATTTTGTTATTGTCAAAGAAAAGCAGCTCAGGCCCGGTTTACAAACAGCAAAACCTTCTCTGTTTTCTTTTTTTTTTTTAAGCATTTTCAGCCTGCTAAGACATGTTTTGCTTAGTAACAGACTTAGCAACATCGCAGGATTTCGGCACAGCAAGGCCGGGAGCCTCTCCTTCCTCTGGGGCCGGAGCTGGATTTGGGAAATGACTGCATGGAGGCAAAGAGCCGCTCATCATTTGGGGATTTTAGAGTGCTTTCCCTTCCCTCAGGGCCTTGCCTTGGGGGTGTTTGTTTTCTGGTAATATTTTAGGCTGAAATTCATCCTACAATAAAGATCCAGCACAATTCCTAATTCCCACGTGGGTTTTTGTGATTCAGTGGCTCGTGCTGGCTCAGGGTGTGCAGGAAACCCCATCCCAAGGGAAGAAGTTGCTGGACAGGAGCGTTGATGGAAGCAGCAGCTCGAGAGGCTCCACTGAATGTGATTTCCAGGTTTAGCAGCCCTGGAGAGAACTTTCAGCTCTTGAATGGAAATTCCAGGTGTTGTGGCCACGAGAGTTTGGGGAAAAGCTTCCCTAAACTCTGTGCTGCTCACTCAGGACAGTGAGTTTGGGGTTTG